TCTCTGATTCCCCACACGTCTGCCTCGTACCCGTGTGGAAACTTCATGTGTTTATTTAGGCTGCCACAGGGCGCTTGCCTTGCGTGTGGCCAACCCAGGTTGGATCCCTGAGCCCTGAGCACAGCTGGGTGTGGCCCAGAAACAAACGAAAAACCCAAAACTTTTATTTTAAAGAATAAATTTGTATCTCAGGCTAAGTCTTGTCTATAAAGTATATCTTGTCTATGAATAGTATCTGGACAATAATGGAAAGTTCTTCATTTTCCAGGGAAAAACGTTCAAAATATCTCAAACATGTTGTGAAAAACTTAGTGTAAAGAGTGAATTTTATGTGCTAATCATCAGTTAAATACGCACACGAAGACTCCACACAGGTAGAAGGCAGACGTGTGGGCCTGTTCCATTAGAGAGAAAAATTCCCACCTGACTTTTTGGGGTTGGTGTTTGTTTTTTGGCATTTGGACTACACCCAGCAGTGCTCAGGGATCACTCTTGGTGGGCTCAGGGGACTATATGGAATGCCGGGGATTGAACCCAGGTCGGCTGCCGGCTAGGCCAGTGCCCTTCCCACTCTCCTTTCACTCTGGCCTCTCGCCTGGGTTCTTACCCGGTGCCGCGGCTACTTTGCTCTCCCAGCAGACCTCAGGCAGGCTTCCTGGCTTCTCCCGTTCACTCGTCCACTTTGTAAGGGCCAGAGTATCCCTCTGTGTATCCTGAAGGTACCTGCTGTGCATGTGTGCATGTGTACATGTATGTGCGTGCCGAATGCACAGACTCCGGAAGGACTCGTCACAAGTGTGCATGGCCGGCGGCTTGAATACAGTCTGTCCTCCAGAGGAAAAGGTGTCAGGAAATCATTTCCCTGACAAACGTGGGGCCAGCTCTGCGCTGCTCCCGACAAGCGAGCTGGCCATGTCCCTGGGGGACACCGCCGATGGCCAGTTCATTTTGCTGATTTTTCGGTTCCATGGGGGCTCCGAGCAGAGCTTGGCTTCCAGATGAAAGGCCGCACAGCTGCCTGGGCCGGAGGCATGTGGTCAATTACTGCCATGTGATGGCCAGTGTTGAAAAGTGGACTGGTCACTCCTCTCTTTTTTAGCGATCCCAGTGCTACACATGTGCAGATAACCGCCTCCAGTGCGAATCGGGGGCCGCTTGGAGCATTTGTCCCTCGGAAGAAGAGGGAAATTGGGAACAGGGTGGTCCTGTTAAATGGCTCGTTGGTGGTGGCTTTACCCTCCATCTAGACCTTGGCCTTTCCCGGGAGACTGTTAAGTCCAGCCTCTTTTGGTGTGATAGCCCTAATTAAACCGGAGAGAGAGGCTCCTCCCCGCACGGAGAGCAAATCTGGCAAGTTGAGGGATGGGGTTTTCAGGGGGGTGGGGGAGAGCACCTGGGAAATGCTCCTTGGCCGACACTTGAGCCCAGTCCATGGCTGCGGTGTGGATGCCTGTGGAGCGAAATGTGCCCGCCCTGGAGAGGGTCTGTGGCGGGGAGCTTCTGAGGGTGGAGACTCTTTCTCTCCCCCAACGCCTTGGCAGTGGCCGGGGATGCTTCCTGGCAGGCTCTCTGGCTGAAGGGCGTGGTTGAGTGGAGACGTTTTTGAGAAATTGGTGTCAGCCTTGAGGCCCAAAGAATCTGATTTTGAAGGAAGGACCGTGGTTCCCGGGGCCCGGGGAGTGTGTGTGTGCAGAACACACTGCCTTGCCCGTTTGTGCAGCCCAGGGTGAGTAAGAGCATCGGAGCACTTGTTCTAGAAACTTCCCTGGGAGACTCTTGAGTAACTGGAAATGAATGTCTTCAGAGTTTTCCCCTTCCTCCTTCCCCCCTTTCTTTGCTCTTAATTCGAGCGAATATTTGAAAAGTTGCAGTATTTTTCTTAGTAAAAAATTGCATGTCTTACACATATTCGTGTGTGTGTTGGGCATTCTTTCTTCTTTATTTGTCTTGGTTTGGTTAAACATTTGGGGCAGATTCTCACATTTACTTGTTCTACAGCCCCTTCTTAGAAAGTCAGTGACTCAGTGCCTCCTCCCTTCCCTCTGCCTTCCTTAAACGAACAAACAGCAAACCTGCCCCCCCCCCCCCCGTTCCACCGAAGGGTCCCGCCCCACTCCGTGGATTGCTCCAGTGTCCCCCAGGGGTTGGTGGCACCCACTTTACGGTTTAGGGCTGTGAAGTAAAGTCATGCTGAGGGGCGTTCAGCAAGTCTGGCTCACTTGGAGCAAAGGTTTAAAGGTCAGGAGTACTGGACATACTGGGAGTACTGGGTGTGTGGGGTACTGGACATGTGGTGGTATTGGACTTATGGGGGTACTGGGAATATGGGGTGCTAGATTTACGGACGACTAGATGTGCAGCGTTCTGCTTTTTAAAAATTTTTTATTTTATACAGTTGTTCACGTTAACATTCAATATTCCAACACCAATCCCACACCTTCCCATCACCATTATTTCAAATTTTCCCACCACCACCCAAGCCTGCCCCAAAGGCAGATCCTAAATAATTTATTTTGTATTGCTTGTTATGAATCATCTGCTAAATGATCCAAAAAAAAATTTCCTTAGCAGAAATTGTGTGGAAATTGTTGTATCTTAACTTGGAGCTATTAAACCTTGGTATAAGAGATTACTAGTGTATTGTTACAGATTGCGCCTTGTGTGCTTATATATGTATGTGTGTATATATTTAAACATTTTTTATCAAGATCGGTCGCCTTCTTCTTTGCAGCCCATCAAATTGTGGTGTGCCACTCTTGGTACGTCAGTGACGTGAAGTATGAGATGTTGCGAGGCTGCAAATGCCATGAGTTCTAAGATTTCAAGTAGGGTGATAGGCCTAGAGTTGAATTTTGACTGGATGATGATTTGGAGGTCAGGAGGCATCGGTGCTGTGCAGTGTGAGGCTCTTTTCCGAGATTCGTGAGTCTCTGGACTCTGGCTGCTAGTGCGCTTCCACGGTGCCAGAGGAGTGGGTGGGCGCGATTGCCAGGCACCCCGGCATAAGGTGATGGGGCGAGGTCGCCCGTTCCTGACTCTGGGCGAGCCTGGAGGTCTTGATCACGAAACCCTCAGACCTGGGGTTTCAGCAGGTTCGTTCTCTGTGTTAGAAGCTCATCCCGAACCTGTGAAGACCAGCCCTGAGCATGGCAGGGATTGGGCTCCGGAGGCGTTCGGCTGCCAGGGTTCTGTTGGGGCGGGTGCTGGGCTCACCGCCCCACTCCGAGGTGCACCCGATGAACTCAGCCTCTCGTGGGGTGTGGAGGCATCTCTGCAGCTTGTTGGTCGCTTTCGAGGTGTATCTGTGAGTCTTTGGACCTTGGCAGCACTGTTCTTCAATGGTTCTTTCTGGGAGAAGGGGATGAGCCGAGCCACACGCGGTAGTGCTTGGGGGCCACGGCCACGGATGCTCAGAGGACCTTGAGGTCTGGCGTCGCACCAGGCGTGGCCTTCTCACCAGCACAGAGCCCCAGCACCGCTGTCAGGCTCTGGCGTGCGACAGCCAAGTGTGCTGGCCCGGGGCTGGAGTGGGAGCACAGCAGGGAAGGCCTCGGCCTTGCGTGCAGCCACCCTGGGTTCGGTCCCCGGCATCCCGTACCGCCAATGGGTGATTCCTGGGTGCGGAGCCAGGACTAACCCGAGCATCGGTGGGTGTGACCCAAGAAGGGGAAAAAGGGTCCTGGACTCCTGCCACGTTCTGCCGTGTCTTCTTTGTCGCCGAGGCCACCCTGCCAGGAACATGGTGAGGCGCAGAGGGAGGGAGCTGTGGGCGGGGCCTGGCCGTGGCTAGGGCCAGCCGGGTTCAGTGCCCCGTACCGTGCGGTGGTTCCCGAACTCAGTCAGGAGTGATTCCTGAGTTGGAGCCAGGAGTCAGTCTTGTGTACCACGGGGCGTGACCCCAAAGCCCGCCCAACACGGAGTGAGTGGCAGTGCCCAGGAACTCGACCTGCTCCTTGTGACCGACTCCAAGTGTGGCCAGGTGCCTAGAGTCGCATGTCTGGTACAGGTAGAGTCTGTGGGCATGACGGGGGCCTGAGAGAGAGAGTAAAAACGCATAGGACCCGCCCCCCTCCCAGGCCGGCCCCCAGCCTCACACCTTTGCGGCCAGACTTCCATCCCTCCAGCCGAGGCCACTGCCTGGATTAAACAGATCGGGCCTTGGCTAGCCTTGAGCACCGAGGAGGGAGTAGGAGCCGGTGTCCATGGCCCGCGCCAGCCCCAGCCCGTGGCCACGATGGTGCCATCTGTGGTGGGGGAGAGGCACAGCACGGGGGCTGGAGGTGAAGGGTGGACCTGCCTTCCAGGTGACCTGTCCCAGCTCCGCCTACGTCACCACCACCCTGTTACGCCCCAGGGCTATGGCCAGAGCACGTGGCCGTCCCAGCGGGCCGCCCTCTCCCCCTCCACCCCTGCTTGTGCCCACGAGGACGGGGCGGCGTAGAGGGGCGAGGCCTGCGGGCGGACAGGTCGCCTGGTGTCCGTCAGTGAGAATGACGGCGCTGTCACTGCCCACCGTTTCTGCTGGGAGGAGACGAGTCGGGCTGGCGGGTCTTTCCTCGGGGTCTTCCCATTTTCCATTCTTGTCCTCTGAGAATGAGCACTTTTCCAAGCACTTCTGTGACCTGCACGTACTTGGAAGAGTGGTTTTATTCACACAGCTGAGTTCTTTCTTTCTGCTTTTTGGCCACACCGGGCGGTGCTAAGGGTGGCTCCTGAGGCCTCTGCCCTCAGGGATTACTCCTGGCGGTGCTTAGGGAACCCTCTGGAATGCCAGGAAACCTAGGTTGACGAAGTGCAAGGCAGACACCCTCCCCGCTCGCTGCCCTTCCAGTCCCATCGCGGCGGGTCTCATTTCTTCCGCTGTAGAAACTTGGGCTTGGAGAAGCTCCCACTGGGGTCAGTGGCCGGGCCCGGCCTGGGCCACTTAGGCCCGAACCCGCCGTCCAGGCGTGAGTCTCTCTCCTCATTGCTGAGGATCTCCCTTTTCTTTTTCTTCGTAGCTGTTAACACCAGCAGATACGCCGAAAGCTACCGGATCCAGACATACGCCGACTACGTGGGCAGGAAGCAGGAGGAGAGGCAGGTCAAGAGGAAGTGGGCCGAGGACGGCTGGAAGGAGGCGGAGCGCAAGCGCCTGCACACGCAGCGCCTGTCCTTCGCCCCGCAGGACCACGCGCACCGCGCCGGCAGGTGAATGCGGGCCCCCCCCCCCCCCCCCCCCCCCCGTTCGGTGGAAGGACAGCCTGGTCGCCCTCGCGGTCCGGCCGACTGCCTGAACTGGTTAGCAGTCTGATGTGGGAGAAATACTGTGCTCCTTTTCATTGCTCTGGAGCCGGGTGGGGCTTGGGCCGCACTCAGCAGAGCTCGGGGTCTGTCCCTGGCTCGGAGCTGCAGGCGACTCCATACCGCCAGTGTCCTGGACTGGACCAGCACCGTAACCTGGGTTCCGCCCCACCGGCTGGGAAAAGATTCTCTTCTCACTGTCCATACGCTGTCAGAGGTTAACCCCAGCTCTCACCTGGATGCCTCCTTGTGACCCGGGGGGGGGGCATGGGTGCCATACTGGGGACCCAACCCAGGACCTCCTTGAGTGTCTTGAAATCGTTCCCCAGACTTGAAACTATCTCCTTCAGTGTTTTCTTCTAGACAGTGTGTTTGTTTATTTGATTTGGGGGGCCACATAGCGATAGTCAGGGGTTCCTCCTGGCTCTGCACTCAGAATCACTCCTGGAGGTGCTCAGGGAACCCTATGAGATGCCGGGGTTGGAACCTGTGTTGGCCATGTACAAGACAAGCTCTTATCCGCTGTGCAATTGCTCTAGCCCCTACCAGACAGTTTATTATGCTAACTTTTACAAGTAAGCCATTCCAGATTAATTCTGTGTGTAAAATGAGAGGCTCAGGGCTCGGGTATTCATTTATCCCAGAAAATTTCGTCAGAAGACTTTTCTTTCCTCATTGAGTTTACTTGGCATTTTTTGGCCAGGAATAAATGGACCGTGTTCATTTTTATCTATTTATGAATTCTTCTGCTCCACTCATTTTAGGTCTATTCTTTTGCCAATACCCCACTTCTTAATTTCTGAGACTTAACTGTTTCGTCTTTGGACCACACCTGGTGCTTAGGGCTGACTTTTGGCTCTGCTCAGGAATGGCTTCCGGCGGGGCTTCTGGGTAACCCTGTGAGGTGCAGGGATCAAACCTGGGTTGGCTGTGTCCATGGCAGGCACTCTCCCTGCTCGACTGTGTCTCTGACCCTAATTCCGGGACTTTGTAATTGTAAGTCATCGAATTCATTCATTCATTAGCATTAAATGATTAATTCTTCTTGGGGGAGGTGGAGTTCTTGGGCCACACCCGATGATGCTCAGGGCTGACTCCTGGCTCTGTACTCAGGGATCACTCCCTAGAGGTGATGGGGGACCCTATGGGATGCCGGGGGTCGAACCTAAATCGGCCATATGCAAGGCAAATGCCCTCCCCATTGGACTGTCACTCCGGCCCCATCTTTCTTTTTTTATGATGGGGAGAAAATGTGTTTAGGATTAGCCAGCGGACTCTTCAGATGATCCCTGTTTTGCTGGCAACATCCAGGGCACTCCAGTCCAGAGCCGGCCGGACACTGGCTTTCTTCTCTGCGTCAGGACTGGCCAGGCCTTGACCGTGGCCCCAGCCATGTCACAGAGCTTTCTCACAGCCCGTGACATCCACTGTGGACACACGTGCTGCTCTCCACTGTCTTCCTTGTGGCTCCCTCCATGGTCAGAGGGAACCCAGGACAGCCCAGGGTCAGGCGTGCCCCTCCCGGGTTGGTCCTCTGAGGGTCTGCAGATGGTGGGTGAGGTGCGGGTTGTGGCCGTGCTTCCTTGACCCTCAGAGCTCCACCTTTGCCTCTGTCTTGAGAGGGGGCAGGGCGACTTCTTGGCCTTTGGCAACGTCTTTGTGGTAGGTACTCATGTATTTGTTGCAGGCCTTATTGGTTGGGTGGGAAGGGGGGTTGTCAACCCTTCCATTTGTGGCGCCACGGCCTGCAAATTGAAGGAACCCGAGTGGACAGTCCAGTGGGGAGGGCGTTTGCCTGGCATGTGGTTGGCCCAGTTTTGATCCCCGGCATCCCATATGGTCCCTGGAGTCTCCAGGAGTGACGCCTGAGCACAGCTGGGTGTGGCCCCCAGATAAGAGAAATTTTAAAAGGTTTTTTAAATGTAAGACTGAAATGTTCCTGTGTGAGTAAGCTGGCACCACACATCTGCTCCGAACCCAGCCTTGGCCTTTCTTTGATGGGGGCGGTGGGCGGAGGGAGCTGAGGACCTCCTCCTGGCAGGGCGAGTAGGGGGAGGGCAGTGGGACCCAAGGCCAGGGCAGTCAGGCCGTGGTGGGCGAGGTGAGCCGGGCGGCTCAGTACCACAGCACCCGTGATCACAGATGCGGGTCCTGCCCAGGGCTCCCCACTGGCCTGTGTCCCCCTGCTCTGAGCCGATTTGGGCCTCTTTGCTCTAATTCTGTGTTACAGCTGTGCTGGTTATTGGTACCCCTCACGTCTGTCCACAGTGGCTTGGATTTTTACTTTTTTAATGAATAAGGGAAAATGACAAGGGCCCCCCACTCAGTTGCCCTTACCCCCTTCATCAACTCCTTTCTGTTACCTTTTTTTAAAAAAAAAAAACTGGACTGTCTCAGTCATCACTGAAGGGAATATTCTAAGAAATTCAAATAAACAGTATAATACTAGAGTCTATTTCATGTAAAATGCAGAATTTTACAGCATCTAGTGACTAATAAAATGGAATAATTAACCAGGAAAATTGGTTTTACCATGGAATGTTCCAGAGACATCAAACCCGGGAGCTTTAAAATCTAGTTAACAAGCGCCAACAAATAGCCCTTCTGTCCGTCAGCCTGGATGGGTGATGGGGAGTGTGCCTCTCGCCTGGCCTGGGAGATCGGGACACCCTTGTGTTCTCTCAGTTGAGAGATCGCTGAAGAGTGGCTGAGAATAACGTGGCAAGGATGCCAGTGGCCTGGGTGCACCAGGTGGAGGGAGGAAAGTGCTGGGCCCTGGGAAGTGGCCTTGAGGGCCGGAACACCGCCTGCCGGTTATGTGCGAGAGGCCCTGCTGCTCTCCATGGCACTGCGTGACTGAGTACCACCGAGTGTCACCCAGGTGATCCTCAGCAGCACGGGGTCAGAGCAGCACAGTGTGGCCAAGCTCAAGCAGAGGGCAGGGGTGGCCCCTGGTGCCTGAGCACCACTGAGAAGGATCCTCCCAGCCCCCCAATAAATGATTAAGGGGATTGTACACAGCCAATCCGGGTTTGATCCGTGGCATTCCGAAGGGTCTCCCAAGCCCACCAGGAGTGACCCTGCGCACTGCTGACTGTGAGCCCCAAACAAACACAAACGAAAAGGAAGGATGGAATGATAGGAGCGCTGTGGGGAGGGCCTTTGTCTTGCACATTGCAAACCCAGGCTCCCTTCCTGGCATCCCGTAGGGTTCCCTGGCACCACCAAGAGTCATTCCTGAGCACAGAGCCAGGAGTAAGGCCTGAGCATCGCCGGATGTGACCCCAGAAGAAAAACTACAACAAAACACAAAGAAAGAGTCGGGGGGGGGGGGCGGGGAGAGAACCTTGTCTTCTAGCACATTCTCCCAGCAGAAGCAGCTGGGGTGGGGTTCTTGAGAAGGCTGCCTGTGCTCGGTGCCCAGTAGGTAGCAGCAAGCTGACGGCTGGCAGACCCGGCTAGAACCTGCCCGTCCCAAGGCCACTGGACAGCGTTCTCTGCTGCAGGGACCTACTGGGTACTCCCCCCGCCCCACCTCAGGGACCCGCCCATCGCTCTTCCCCCCCTCCCAGCCCCACCTCTCCTGCTGCTTCTCAGAGGCTCGCACCCTTGCCCTGAGACCCTGGAGGTGAGAATGAGCCTCTTGATTGTTGCATCTTCCAGCCTGAGCACACGACCTCTGTTTTCATTTCTTCAGCTTCTCTCTGGTTTTGCTCATCAGGAAGTGGATGCTTTAGGTGTCCATGTCTCACACATACTTTTAGTAGAGTTGGTTTTGAGTGTTTGGCTTCTCCATGCGCTTGTAAGGTTTTGATTTGTGTGTAAGTTTTTTTTTTTTTTTTTTTTTGCTTTTTGGGTCACACCCGGCGATGCTCAGGGGTTACTCCTGGCTCATGCACTCAGGAATTGCTCCTGGCGGTGCTCGGGGGACCATATGGGGTGCTGGGAATCGAACCTGTGTCGGCCAACATGGCTGCGTGCAAGGCAAACGCCCACCCGCTGTGCTATCGCTCCAGCCCCTGTGTGTAAGTCTAACTCAGGGTCACTTGTGCTGATAGAAGCATCTGCCACCGACTTGTGTGCTTCCTCCGTGTACCCAGGGACCTTGCTCGGTTCACTTCTTTGTCCTAGGGACTTTTTACAGACTGTTGGACACTTCCGGTTTAGACGCAGCTGCAGATGAGGGGGCTAGGATTTCTCCTTGTCCATGTAGAGCATCTGAATGTCTTTCCTTTCCCTTGCCTTATCTCACTGGCTGGGGCCCCTAATATGTTGTTGGTGTTGAAGAGGAGAAGTGGCCAGAGCCAGCACCTGGGCAGCACCTCTCCTCCTTCCTGATGTTAGACAGACACATTTAGCATGAAGTGTGACATTAGCTCCGGTGGTTTTACTTTTGGCATTTTGGTTTGATTTTTCTCTTTGGGTGATAACTCGGGGATTACTCTCCCGGCTCAATGCCTGGAGGTCACTCCAGTGGGTGCCCAGGAAATCATGCGGGGGTGGGGGGGCAGAGAGACAGCACAGCAGGTAGGGCTAAAGCTTACCTTGCACGTGGCCAGCCCAGGTTTGATCCCTGCACCCTGTATGGTCCCCTGAGCCCCGGAGTGAGCTCTGTGTGTGGGGGAGGGGTTGACTTTTTGACTTTTTGGGTCACACTCGGCGATGCACAGAGGTTACTCCTGGCTCATGCACTCAGGAATTACTCCTGGCCGTGCTCGGGGGAATCCTATGGGATGCTGGGAATCGAACCTGGGTCGGCCACGTGCAAGGCAAACGCCCTACCCGCTGTGCTATCACTCCAGTCCGTGTTTGTTTTTGAAGATGCATTGTATTATTTGCAAGTCGGGGGAAATCAGCCTGGCCGTTGGCTCTTTGGGCACTGGGCAGCCACCCATCATTCCTCTCCC